TGCCAGGTCCAACCCAGAGCTGTGTCTGGCAGCTCCAGGCTCTGCTTTGTTTCAGCTTTTTCTTCGGACAGGCAAATTGCCTACATTAACGTGGAGACTTTAGATACAATATAGCTAATTCCCGTGAAATATCTCAGAACGTAATTTGCGCCGAGGGCTCCCCCCCTAAGCAGCTGGTTGGCGAACAAATAATTTCCAGAGAACTGCACAAACTGAACCCTGATGGCACCGAAAAGGCTAAGAGGACGGGGCAGCAACTTCTTGGCAATTAGTAATTAAGCCACGGAGGCTCACGACAGTCAGAGATGGAGCTCTGAAAAACCTGGCTGAAATATTCACAGGCGAGGTGCTAGGGAACGTTTCCCTCCATGGCTCTGCAAAGCATTTGAGGAAAAAATCACAAAACAATGCAGCAACCTAATAAAAAACCTAATAAAAACCTGCATTAAAAGGAAATAGTGGCAGTTGCCAACCTGTGCCCCAGGCTTACTGCTGGTTTTTTGCCTCTTTCTGCATTCCCTCGGAGCAGATGTCTGCGGAAGGCAGAGGGGTGGTTGGGGCGTTCTGCTGCAGCCAGGCATTTCTTAGGGGAGGCAAAATAATAGGTTGGCTATTTTTTTGTTGGGTTTTGCCTTTTTTTTTTTTTTTGTTTTGCAAAGTCAGGAACTCCGTCTTAGCGCTTCAGCCCGTTGTTATGGTTTGTGTTATTCTTGGCACGCTGACCGGAGTGCGCTCAGTATGAATAGCAAAGAGCTGAAAAGTAAATATTGTATCCTCCGGGAGCCGCGGAGAGGGGAGGGTGGTTATATTGCTTAATGGAGCACCCCCAGCGCCTGTTTGGGTTAGGCTTACAGTAATTGCTCCCTAGGTGAGTTTGTACCGACAATTGATCGTTTCAAATGAGAAAGAAGTACAAATGAGTAAGAGAGTAAACACTGACAGTGTTACGAAACGCAGGAGAGGAGAGTGAAAAATCCCATGCAGCTCAAGCGCGGGGCTGAAAGAAAAGCCGGCCAGAAAATAGGGGATACTGTTTGTTTTATGTGTGATTTCTCATGAATGCTGAATGATACAAGGAAAGAAATTGAATTTTCTCCTTCAGCTCAAGCTACAGAACTACTTTCCGTAGCCTGATCATCTACAAAGAGTTCAAGGAGACCCTTCTGCTCTCCCACCTCCTCCGTCCTGGAAGAGTGTGGGGCTCTCGGCACAGGCAGCGCTTTGCTGTGAGCACGTGGGTGAGAAGACACGGAGCAGGAAGCCCACAGGCGTGATGGAGGAGCTCTGGGCTGAGGAACCTTGGTGTAAAACCACTGTCCCCTTTCCCCGTGGCCAGGGCTGCTGCAGTCCTCCCATGGGGTGCAATGTCCCCTGCTGCCAGCCCACACTGGTAGGACAGGTCCTCCACTCCCCTCAGCTCTGTCCCCCATCACTGTATGTCACAGCAGCGCGTCCCCCATGTGCCCCTTGCCCAGGGCTGCCTTTCACCCACCACATCTCCAGAGGGACCCCAACCAACCTCCATCCAGGCTCCAGAGTTCGCAGAACCTCTGCCAGGCAGGGGACCAGCACTGGCCTAAGGACACAGCATCAGCCCTCGGGGACCAGGAGCTGCCCGTCAGCCCCAGAGCTGCGGCCGCAGGGTCACCGCAGCACACCCCCAGTGCCCATCAGCAAACTGGTGCTGCTTAATGCTTCCTGATCATCTTCGACCGTGCTCGTGCTAGCGGTTGCTAGCGCTGGTTGCGATGGCCCCAGGCCAGCATCATGGGGACCAGGAAGGGATGCTCAGGTTTGGCCCGGGGTGCAGGAGGGGATGCTCAGGTTTGACCTTGTGTGCCCGGAGCCACATCTGCCCAAGGCTGGGCTGTGCAGCAGGAGGGTGTTGGAGGCCGAGGGATGGAAAGTCCCCATTCTTCCAGGAATTATCACCGAAGGAAGGGTATGGGACTGCCCGGCAGCTGCCGGCAGGCTGAGCCCTGAGTGAAAGAACTGGCTGTGGGGTGCCTGCAGGGGTGCTGCCACCCCGGCCAAGCACAGCAAGCTCTGCCCCAGCCCCAAAGCGGACCTGGTGGCAGCACCTTTCAGAAAGGCTGAGCTGGCAGCCCCTCGCCGGCCGGCCCCAGGCTGCTGCTGCGGCTTCTGCAGCTGAGCTCATTAGTGCCTGCAATCAGCAGGGCATGAAGAGGAGATAATTACACAGGCAGCACAGCCCCGGCTGCGTGCAGGGTCTATATATAGCACCGTGTGGGTCCGTGCTGCCTGCGGTGCTTAGTCACGGCCCCGGGGACCGTGCGGGTCGGGGGGTGCAGGCACTTCTGCATGGGGAGCTGCGCCGCTGCCGTCTGCGGTGCCTGGGGAAAAACCACCCCAAGCTGAATTAAATGTTTCACTTACTACGTTTTTCGCAGCTGAAAAAAATGCAGTGAGTTTCCCAGTTGACTGCCGTTTTGCACAGAAAAAAACTGGGAATATTATTTTTTTTTTTTTTTTGCAAAACACCTAAGCAAAAGTTTTCAGCCTGGGGCCAGGGTGACTGCACAAATGGGCATCCGCTCCCCTCGCAGCCCCCAGGACCCCACAGAGAGGGAAAGGCGCTCCCAACCCTGTGGAGAACATCCTCCGGCTGCAGGTGGAGGGTGCCCAGCACCCGGCTCAGCTCTGGGGGCAGCTGTGGGGCAGGGGGGCACCCAGCCCCACACAGCGCTGGCTCTTGAGGCCGGTGTCACCCTGTGGCAGTGCCATCCCAAACCCATGATGGTGTTTTCAGAGCCAGCCTGGAGCAGCTCAGCCCCGGGGAAAAGCCAGGTTTGCTCATCGCTGGCCACTCCCCAGGGCCAGCGACATGAGCTGCCTGGCCTGTATTTCCAGCATGGCCATTTCCAAACTGACAGCAAGGTCTTGCCCTGGCACGCGAGGCCCAGTGTGTCACTGGTGCCACTGGTGTGCCCTGGCCGGCAAGCGCAGGGCTGAGTCCCCACAGCAGCATCCCGGGCACAGCAGGCGCTGTGCACATGGGGCATCCCCAAGAGCCTCTCGGGGCAGTCGCAGGGACCTCAAGACATGCCAGGGTGGCTGCCAAGCACCGATGCCAACCATGGGATTGTGACACTGCACCAGGAAGCCCTGCCCTCTCTGCGTTTCACCCAGCAAGCCCGGGAAAGCAGCCTGGCACTGCCAGGGCAGGGGCGAGGTGGGTGGCTCCCGGGGCTGCTCCCGGCCATGCAATGCAGGGATGTCCCCACCCAGCTCACACCTCACCGAGAGCGGGCACCGACCGAGCAAAGCCTCCCTCGCAGTCCCCGGGCTCTCTGGTCACGGCAACAGCTCCGGCCAGGCGAGCTGCTGCGAACCCCTCGTCCTTCAGGGTGCATCATCACCGTGCATCGCCTGCCCCGAATCCTGCCCTGCTGCAGCCTCCAGCGCCCTGGCTCCTTGCATCGCCTTGCACAGTGGGGCCTAACCACATCATGTTTTGGTGAAAAAGTGAGTCTAATAGAGCAAGGTATTGCTCCTTTCATTCACCTTTAATCACTTCTTCGCTGTTCCTTCCCTGGAGATGTGTAAATACTTAAAGCTGAGCTTTTGGGCTATTTGGAAATGGATTGTTCAGCAAACCATAGAGTGTAGGGTTAGGGCTGCAGCCCGCATGGCAGCCTGCATTCCCCTTACATCAGTGACAGGGAGGAGAGCCTCTCCCTCCGTAAAGATAAACATTCATTCATGGGCACAGGGGAAGGAGTCCAGGAAACTCCTGCCACACACTACGCGGGCTGTTATTAAGTTAAGCCATAATTAGGTCCCCATCCCTCTTCTCTTGCACGTGCGCATCACACAGATGCGCGTGCAGACACACACAGGCACACGCCAGCTCGGTGTAAAAAAGCAGGGCTGAACGTGGGTTAATGCCCTTGTGCACCTCCCCTGACAGAGACCTTGGCAGGACCTTGCACACACCGGCCCGGTCATCTGAGACAGGATTTACTCAGGGAGCAGAGTGCTCATGCCTGAAGCCCGCTCATTCACAGCACAGCCAGCTCCTGGCTCCTTCCAAACCAGCCCCAGCTACGGTGACGATGATCTTTTTTTAAAATCCATTGTGTGCCAGCCCATTTATTTTCATCGCTCGCTCAGGACAGGCGTGGGATAATCACAGCGATAAGCTACGTGGGGCACCACGTTCAACTGCCCAACAGATATATACCAACTACTTTTTAATCATGATAAGAAGAGCACAAAACCTCCTATCGCACAGGACTTCCGTTGTGCCGCAGAAAAACAGCCGAGCGGGTCTTACATCTGCAGCTTTATTCTCGTACAAAAGGTTAAAGGCAAAGCTAGAAAAATGAACCTATTGGTACACGCTCACTGAACGCTTTTAAGACAAGACAGGGCAGTAAAGCTTTTATTGCTAAGAAGGACCAATGGGAGGCTTTAAAGCTCATCTAGCATTCAATGTTTGTTTGTAAGTAACCCAATTTAAAGCAGCATTTCAGTCTTTAAAGCCCTCTTGCCTTTCTGGAATGCTTTAAAAGGAAGATGACCTGAGGATGGTGTCTGCTGTCCTGAGGGACCAGACGGATGCTCTGCGTGAGGTGCAGAAATGGGCCACTGAGGAATGCCAAAACAAAACCCAACTGACCAGCTGTGGCCTCCTGCTGATCATCAGGCAAGGCAAGGCTGCACAGCACCCATGGAGCAGCACCCTGCCATGTGCAAACGCAGTGGTCACCTGGTGGCCCCTCGGCTGTCCCCGTGCCCTGGTGGCTGTCTCACAGCTGGGCACCGTGGACTTGCCCCAGGTAGAGCCTGGAGCTGGTGGCATGGTGACTGTGGATGTTCTGCTCCAACTACCAGACTGTGCTTCCTCCTGCAGGAGCGAGGCTACAGGCAGCGGGATACTGAATGCTCCTGGGATCCCTAGGGATCCTCCTGGGATGCAATGGATCAGGGCTGGCCACCCTTCCCAAGGGAGTGCTGGTGCAGCCACTACGGCTTTGCAGGGCTTGCTGCAGTCAGAGCTGCTCCCGGGGGCGGTGGGAGCCCTAGTCTTCAGGGATCGGGGTGTTGCAGTTCCCATGGTAAATTTTGACCTCACCCTCACACTGGAAGTACTGATCGAACACATCGCTGTATCCATGGTCCCTCCACCATGTGCAAAGCTGCCGGTTCCACGTGCAGTCGAGCACATGGAAGAGCTCTGGGTGCTCCATCCCTACCATGGTGAAGAAATCCTGGTCCCCGAGGTGGCCCTTGAAGTGGTACTTCTCTGTCAGCTTCTGCACCATGGTGGGCTCCAGCAGCTGGTTGTAGAGCTTGGACTGCCTCATGGCTTCAAGGTTCAGGAGAAGGACGCCACTGTTGAAGCCGGGCAGCCCATCAGGAGGGGGATCCCCCACTTTGGTTTGGGGGTTCTCGCGGCGATACTGCCAGAAGGTGTGCCTGCAAAGAGAGGAAAAACAGAACAGGGGAGTGAGGGAGCGCAGCCTGAAGAGCAGCCACCTCAAGTCTGGGGAGGTCTGGATCACAGCACAGGATCTACCATCCACCCAAGGGATCTCGCAGTGCTTATCTTCTGCTGGCTGGAGGCACCCAGCGTCCCAGAGCAGACCGGTGCTTCACAGGCTGTGGCTCTCTCCATCCCCTGCACAGGATACTGTCCAGACTGCAAACCACTCTTCTTGCTCTCTCCTAAAGCCCCTTCTGTTTCTACCAGCATAGCTCTGGTGAGCCAACAGGACACATGATTGCGTGACTGCTCACACGGCTGTGCGGGGAGACGAAACCACATCCCCAGTGCCTAGGGCAAACCCCCAGAAAGGTCCCCACGCCAGGGAAATGTCCTGCAGTTAATGGGATCTCGGCAGCAGAGCTCGCAGCATCGTTATTATTACTATTTGATTATGATGTATTATCCAGATCAAAGATAAGCCCCAGTTTGAGCCTGTGCAAAAAGACGACTTAAAATAAATCTGAGTGGCAGAAATATTTCTTCAAAATAAAAATAAAAAGCAAAAACCAAGCCAACATCTCATTAGCTAAACAAGCACTGCCTTCAGCACTTGCAGCCCCAGGAAGGCTCAGCTGTAGCAGCTCTGGCAGACTCGATCTTCACCAGCTAATTTCCAGCTGCCAGAGAGCGGTGCAAGTCTGGCAACACACAAAGCTAACTCCAATGGGTGATTCAAACGGGAAAAATTTAGACTACCTAAGCAAGCAGCCCAAAAATGTCTTTGGCTCCTTCCTCAGCCCTTGGGGCAGCGAGCACACCCCACCATACGCACACCGGCTGCTCCCACATGCTGGAATTGAATTCATCCCATGCTATTACCCAAGCAGCTGGGGTTGAATCTGCCCCAAAAAATCACTCCCATTCATGTGGAAAGTCTTCTGCCCCCAAGCAGCACCCTTTGCTGCAAAGCCAGGCAGCTTAGAGCTGGCCGAGCCTGCAGTTCGGAGGAGGGCAGGAGGGCCCCACAGCCAGCACTGCGCTCTCCTTCCAGCCTTAACACTTAAGGTAAAACTACAGCACTTTTTTTTTTTTTTTTTTTTGCTGTGAAGATGTCTGGGAGAAATGGTGCTAGAAAGAATTACCCAAGCCTGCTGCTGGCTCCTCTCCGAATCCGTCAGACACCAACCACAGTCTCCATGCACCTCCAGGAAACAAGAATTTGCTGCTAGACGGTGTGCATTTAGCACCCAAAGGTTTAAAGTGATCCCATGCTTGGAAGCTGAAGCTGGGCTAATTCTTATGTAAGAAGATGCAGGGACATTAGCCCCTGGGACAGCTCCACAGTAGCGGTGGGTACTCCTCCACTGCAAACATTTAAATTGAATTTTTTCTTGTAAGAAGCTGTGTTCAGCTCCAACAGGCACTTGCTCAGGGAATCCTACAGCTTCTACAGAGATCAGACTATTAAATCCATCCTTCTGGCCTATCCTGCAGATCCCCAGCACAGCGCTGCGAGACTGGCCGAGGCAAGAGACAGGATTCAACAGCCACCAGCAGAATTATCCCAGCAGAACATGTGGATCTATTAATGATGTCAACCGTGAGCACCTTTTTTATTTCCTGATCTGGAGAACCACAACCATCAAGCAGCATCACTTCCTTAGACCTTTTCATTTAGATGCTTTAGATTCAAACCTCTGATACTTCTCATCTCATTAAGGGTCTTTACACCATTCCCTTTCACCTGATGCAGGACAGAAAGGTTTTTTCCAAGCGCCAGTTTTCCATGGAAGGAGGGCTCAGTTTTTCAGCAGCCATCTTCATGCCTCTCAGGGACCGGCTGCCTCATCGGAGCCCGTGGGCAGCAATGCTCGTTTGATCTAAAGGGCAGGGAAGGGATAAAAGGGCTCTGCCCATGCAAAGAGCAGTTATGTCTTGAGGACAGACACCAGGCCACCGCAGACGACTCACGGATGCTCATGAGAAAAGGAAGGCAAAGTGGTCTCCACGCAGCATTAGAGGGAAGCTCAAGACAAGACCCAGCCTTGCACCGATCAGCCTCCCGAGGTGCTCAGGTCCCACGGTCTGAGCAGAGACTGGCTCAAGCCCATCTCTGGATGTTCCGCTCCCTCTGCTTCTCCCTAGCAGTTCCGGAAAGCCATCCCCATGCCCAAAAAATGATGCTGGAAGCTGTCAGGAGGGAAGCAGGGAGCAGTGCCACAGAAGGAGGCGCCTTTCCAGCTCCACAGAATGTTCTTACCTCCAAAAAACACACGCTGCCCAAGCTAAGGGATGAAATTAGAGCCCCTGCAAGCAGCTAGAACAGGAAAAATGTGAATGCCCAAGCCCTCAGCACTGCCCTGCCGCAGCAGCCAGGCTGCAGAGGGGAGAAAGCACATCTGTGTCAAATGACTCAATTTTTGAGCAATGCCGTTCCCCAGCGGATTACTTGGCGACGGCTGGTAACGAGAGGAGAGCAACGTGCCCTTTTCTGCAGGGATAGGAGACAGACCGACGAGCCGCAATTGTTCAGCCCTTCCTCCCGGCGCTGGTGTGACGGGGCCATCCTCCCCTGGCCGCGTGCAGGGACCGCAGGGGAGCGGAGCTGAGGGGAGGAGAGGGTGGGCCGTCCCCGGGGAGCGATGCTAGGGCAAGATCCAGGATGCGACGAGCTGCGGGCGGCTCCGCAGCGCCGACAGCTCGGGAACCTGCTCACAGCACTGTGCCGCAGCCTTTCCAGTGCTGGGCTCCGGCCAACCGAGGGAAAGGTATTCTGGCAGCATCTGTTTAGCCTGGATTTTGCTCCGCTTTTGTCAGAGGCTTTCGGCTCACTCCTTCTGCAGGGGCCAGGACAGAGAAGAGCATGGTTGAAAGGCACCTCCACCCAGCTGGAAGAGGAAGGAGTGGCGTGTACAAGAGTATAATTTTCTTTGGAGGACATGGGGCCGGGGAAGCACAGCAACCAGCCAAACAGCTAACCCAGCCTGCGCCCCGTGCTGCTCTGTCCTGCCTGACATTGCCCCTTGGCACCTGGCTTAAATTTTGGCAAAATATAGGGGGAAAATCACAAGGGCTTGACGAGTGTGCTGCCAGGATCCAGGGAGGGGCTGGGCTGCCAGGGGTGCAGTCCGTCCCCCCCGAAGACAAACACTCCACTAAGGAACTGAAACTCTGGTTGGATGCGATGCAATGCAAATGTCTCCCTGTCCCAAGCCCCTGGACCAGCCGTGATCTCCCTTGGGACAGGCGGTTCAGGCAGGGCAGCATGCCACTGGCCGTGGCTCCAGGGTGCCCTCCTCCCTGCTCCCCAAAAGCCAGGGCAGGAAGGCATCCCAGAGATGCCGGCCATCGCGGGATGCAAAGAGGCAGGAAGCTGCTGGCTGGGAAGAGGGAAGGAGAAAGGAAGAGGAGGCATTTCGGGCTTTTGTTAACCGCCCTGGTCTCTCTAGACGGGAGGGGAAAGAGGTGACCCCGGGCCCCCGACCCCGTAGCGGGGTATGGGGGAGCTGTACGGGGCCACTGCCGCGAGCGCCCGCCTGCAGCCACGAAAGGCTTGGCAGCACAGATAAAAAAATCCTGCTTCCACCAGCACTTGCCTTGCTGGCCCAGCACAGGGCGCTCCGGCCGCACCTCCCCGCATCGCAGGCCGGTGGCCATGAGCCCCGGCTCTCAGAGCTGCCACCACAGGCTTTAAAATGCCTTGCTGGGGATAGCTGCCAGGGGGAGAAGGGACCGCTCCACCTATCAACTGTATTTTGCAGGTCCTTCTCCTGCTTACTACAGGTCTGGTTATGAGACATCCTCATGGGATGAGCTGGAAACTGCTGGTAAAGCAGCAGGGTGCCCTTGCCGGCAGGAAAGGCACGGTGGAGGAGTTACTGCCAGCTGGGTGACCAGCAGCAAGCCTGAAGCACTGGCCCCACAGGCAGCGAACTGGGCTTGCATGGCTGTACCCACCTGAGATGTTCAAGAAGCTGCAACCCTGCCACACTAGCTGTGCAGTCGCCGCTGGCCTTGATGATGAGGATGTGGATCCTTCCCATGCAGCTGCATCTCCAGAAACTCAGTCAGCCTGTGGGATCCCCTCCAGGCACTGCAGCCCGGGAACTGAGGAGCCAGGTCAAAAAGAAGTGACATGAAATGAGATGCTGGGCCAGCCCCAGCGTGGCTGCAGTCAGAGGATGCTCCTGGAAGGCTGGGGGGTCTCCAAAAGCCACTGTGCGTGTACACTGCATGAGCCTGAGCAGCGTGGTACCTGCGGGGGAAGGATGCACAGCCTCTCCCTCACCGAAGGGGAAGTGAAACCAACAGCCATGGGATAAACCCACATAAATAAGGGGCCTGCAAGATTCTGGATGCAATAAACATCGCTGGACCAGTAAATTCCTTGCTGGAGCTCACTGGTTTGCTCCCACCTGTTGCCAGCGCTGGCAGTCTGAGCCAGCTGCTTGGGAGGGCAGGACAGGCAGCGGCGGCAGGCCAGCACCTTGAGGACATACTTTGAGCCTCTCCCCTGGAGGTCAGGGGCTGGGGGACCCCAAGCCCCATCCACCCCCAAACAGCTGGGCATGGGGCTCCTGGCACAGAAGGGAAGCACGGGCTGCCAGCCATCCCTCTCTACACCACTCCGATAGCAGCTCTGCCAGCCCAAACACCAACTAAAACAACAAGTGCACACTCTTGCTACCTCTAAATACGCTTTTTGGTCCCTGAGCCAGAAAACAGACGGCTGGCGGCGTTATCCCCAGCTGCAGCTGCTGGCAAATGCCGCTGTTCCTGTGCAATAAGCCACGAGGTGCGAGCACACTGTGCTCCTCCACTCCGTGCCGCTGCCAGTGCTCCCCAGGGGTGGGCAGGAGGACGCGGCGTGTGGCTGCGGTCCCACCGAGCAATCCCCGGCCGAGCTGCCCATCTGCCTAGTGTCCAGTACCTGTGGGGCCCCGGCGAGTTGGCTGAGGAGGCGGATGGGATGGGAGCCCCAGTGGGAAGT